TTGTTGTCAGGGTTAGTCTTAAAATGAAACGATAATGCGTTCCCGAGAAGCTCCATATTTCTCAGGCTACAGCCATATTGACTGGAACAAAAGATCTCCCCCATGTAGGCTCGCATTCAATCGCTTCAGAATAAGGCTATTCGGGGTTAAACAAAGGTTTTTATTCTCATGGGAATAAGTATGCCGCCGTGTGATCAAGGCCCGGGGGGGGGGGGGGTACTCCCCTATTATTCGCTATACGGGTACGTGCCGCAAACAGGGTATGAATTTCAGCGATTTCACTCTGGAACAGGATCAGGGTTCAGAGGGCTCAGCGGCACATCCCTACCCTAAACGGGCAAGAGTACCCCCGGGGATCAAGGTCCGTTGAATTTCAAAATATTTGTATTGTTGAAGTTGTGCATTCTTTACTTTACTTTTGGTATTTGAGAATATTTTGACGCTAAACTGAGGCTTACTCTGAGTAAATGATTTACTATAATAAAGGAACACAGCGGTACTTACAAAGTACAATTTTTTTTACTGATACCACATTTCCCTCCCTTTTTGCAGCCAAACCTGTGGTCCAATATTTTCAAGCATCATTTACATCTGGGTCATAATGACGAGGCATATGCTGCCCTGACCAGTAATCCTGATCCATCAAGGTTTGTTTTCTCACAGGATTTTTACTAGTAACGCCAGTCCTAAATATTACCTTAGTGTTCAATTTTCGTGACGTGTTAATTTAGAAATTTCGGAGGTTGCATATTTCGCGACACTAAATTTCACGATTTTGCGGAGGAAAACATTCTAAGTCACTTGAATTTYGGGCTTTCATTAAATATAAATAAATAATAAATAAATAAATGGGATTTAGCAGTGGCATTTCTACAGAGTAGCGATTCATCCACTGTAATTCCAATTGGAATTTAGAAGTTGATTTTTGCTGAAGGAGGAAAGCTGGAGAACCCGGAAAACCCTTGAAACACTGGAGAGAACCAACAAACAACGAACTCTACTCACTTACGACACCGAGCTCAGCGAGACTCGAACCCGGGTCGCATTTGTGAGAGGCGAGCGCTCTCACCACTACGAAAACATGTCAGTCATTGACATAAATTTGTTTCCAAAAACACGCATTCCTTTTATTGAAGATTAAATTCTTTATTTCTTTATTTTTTTGCCACGTAAATTTGATGCAATTCCATAGTTAGTAGAGGAGTAATATGGTATTTTATTCCATTCTTGGGCTTTTGCAAAGTGTAGTGAAAACAGTTCTCTTCATGGTTCATAGAGGTCGTAACTGTTTTATGAAGGAAGCTTRCCATACTTTTTATCATTTTTACTTTATCGTAAATCATTTCCTATTTATTCTACGATTCATATTTTTCGTTTTTCGTCCAGGAAACGCGATTGCCTTCATCGATTTATGGTCGTTTTATGTGAGAGAGGTCAGCTTCAGGAACTGTGTGAATATCCTTATGTAAACCTTCATGATGAGGTGAGAGATTTTTGTTTGCACAGCAGAAGTTTTACAGTTGCTTATGTGAAGCTTATGTTTAAGCAATGTTGATATGTTTTCCCATTTCAGACTGTGTGTTATTCCCAGGGACGGACCCAGGAATTTGAGAAAGGGGGCTGTAAGATTTCAATGTGTGATGAATCTTATACCTAGTCTCCCCCACAGCCGCTTTCAGAGTCGTCACGCAACGCTTTCTCCCCTACTCAGGGGAGAAAGCGTTGCGTGACGACACTGAAAGCGGCTGTGTGGGAGACTATCTCATACCTTGACTAGGCAAAAGAAAGGGAGGTCCAGGGGGCATGTTCGGAATGAAATTACTTGCAGCCCCATCACCACCCTCCCCTCCCCCCCAACAAATTTCCCTTGATTCCCTTGATTATAAGATATTTTTTGAGTCGTATCCATATTAATCTACTTTATCAAGTGTTAGTAGTACACCAAAAATAATGCACCAGTTACTCAAAGAGTAAGAGCGTGCCCCTGTTTTACAACTGACAGGGAAGCAAATCTATCATAAATCAAAGTATAAATTAGGTGTTTAAAAAGGGAATAATGAATTACTGTAAGTAAGAGTTTATGATATTTTCTTGATCTATAAAATATTTTTTCCCATTAATAGTTCGTTGACATAATGGAATCCCATGCTCGTACAGTTGACATAGCAACACACCAATACTATGATCTACTCTATGCATTTCACGTGTTCAGAGGCAACTACAGAAAAGGTATCAGACTTTTTACTAGTAACCATAAAATTAAAGTTATKTAATGCATGAAAATGGAATATTTGAAGGTTTTTACGCAGCTTCTCTCATGTTCTCTCAGCATCCCGCACGTTTGGATCAGAGTATCTAAAACGAAAAGCTGTTTCGATTTCTTAATTTTATTATGGAATAAAACCATTTTGCTTGTCTGAACAGATCTCGTGTCATTTTCCTTGAATATTGTTTGACTCTGACCAAAAGATTTTCTCAAGAGAATATTTCGTGGTCGTAGATGGGTGAACATTCCACACACACTGAATTTTGTTTTTAATTTCTCTATTTTTTCTTTTCCCAGCGGGAAGTGTCATGTATGAATACGGTGGTAGACTTGGTAGGGAGTTACCAGGCAAACAAGGGTTACAAAAACAGGTAAGATACTGCGCATGACAACAAGCACTTACTAAGCCCTCTTTCTCTCTCTCTGGAACAGGGTATATGAAATCACACTCTCTCTCTGGATCAGGGTATCTAAGATTTTTGCAAGCACTGGAAAAGGTTTTTTTTATATACGATCTTACTCTGGAACAGGCTATGAATTTCAGCTATTTTACTCTTGAACAGGGTCAGGTTTGAGAGAGCTCAGTGTCACATCCCTACCCTAAACGGGCAAGAGTACCCCCCCCCCCACCCACCCCCTTCCCCCGGAGATTAACCACAGAGGGCCAAGTTAATCACTTGCGACTATCAAGTGTCATGCTCATGCTAAATAATGTTGCTTTGCTCTTACAGTCTTTGCATTATTATTGTATTGCAGGCCAAGTGCTACCTTGCAGCCCTTAATGCACTTCGTCTAGTAGATCCTAAAAATGCATGGATAGTAACACCGTGGGACAGGGCACAGAAGAAGGTAAACAGTATCAGTAATTACTATCGTGTACAAAAGATAGCAGTGTTAGTGGTGTTTTGGGGATAAATTTAAAGGGGAAAGATTTTTTGTGCCTATCATTCAATAGTTTGATCATACGTCGTTTACATCTTCCATAAGTGGCAAACCTATCCCTGATTTATTAGTCAGAATAGGTACGCTACCGCTAGAGTTTTCAAGGCCCGTTTACACAGACAATGATTTTTGCTGTGTCGGATTGGTACCACCATTTTCCCCTACGATACCACGTTAATGGGTTGGTTACCATTCGCCCTGAATAACTCATGTCATTCCGGTTTTTACTTTACCCGATTTTCATGTTCTAGAAGAATGACGAGCCGCCCAATTCTTCCCCTAAACGCAAACAAGGTGACGAGGATTCCTGGTACGGTATTGATAGACACAGCCGAGCACGCAGGAAGCTGACTGTCATGGAGATCCATGACCTAGAGAAAGAATACCTTCTAGTACTTGCTCGTCTACAGCTGTTGAGAGTCGAGGCTGATCCTTCTGAGGCTACTGGTGAGAGGTTTTGGGATTTTCTCTTAGTTACACTTACATCCTTTTAAATTGAATGTGGGTTCTCCACCAATTTGTGAGCACTGGTTTACGAGAGGTACCAGGTGAACTGACTGATTTAGGGTGCGATTACACGGAGCAATTTTCTCTGCAACTTGTCTCGTAACGGTGTTGCGACACAACTTGCATGGAGCATTGCAGCGTGTAACCTACAGCGCAATTTGAAAAAATGTTGCGAGACAAGCTCCAGCAAATGCTTGCGTCTCCGTTGCAACGTGTAAACACTCATGCGACTTGTGTCGCAACACTGTCGCGAGACAAGTTGCAGAGAAAATCGCTTTTTGTATTCGCGCCTTTGTAACAGCTCAGTTGTCTCTACTTTACAACCTTCAGGTTTACTCTATATATACTATACACCCTTAGGAATTTCCCACGGCATGCTACAAAACTTTACATTAATACTAAGTAAATATAAAAATAAAGAATATAGATAAAAGATTAGAAGATCATGAAGCCTGGGGTGACGTCACAATCATTAACACATTGAAAGTATAAACCATTATGACATAGACGCAGCATTCAAATGAAGAAATATTTTACCATTCAACTATTCACTTATATAACAATATAAATATATAAAAATAGTTTAGGGATTAGTGACGTAGTAATCCCGGCATATAGTGACACAGTGAGAGGAAAAGCTTATTTTTTTAATGATTCTAAATCACCACACATCTTGTTAACTATTGTATAGGACCACCCCTGACTGCACAAGAGACACTAACCCTTCTCACCCAAGCTGGACTGTTCGACACAGCCTTCACAGTCGCATCAGGATTTAATCTCTCGAGAGACACAATCTTTGAAGGTCTTGCAGCAAGGTTAGTGATTAGTTTCAATTCCATTTATTTTCCATTTTTCCTTTAAAATCGTAGTCGTAGTCTCAGTGTGTCCACATTTCTTTAGGCTCAGTGTTTCAACTTGTTTTTAAATCTTCAGATGTGTGAGGCAATCCTATAATCTAGGCATGACAAGGTAGGGAATCTATGAGGAAAAGCCAGGATTGTTTTTTCAAGTAAATAGGAACATATCTCAAAAGACCTTTTGAGTTTCGTACGCAAATTGCCCATTTCAGATCACATGACATTCCCTTGAGAATTGTCCTTTATTGACGAAAATATAAAATATTTACACATGAAAGAATCATCTCATCTCCCAAGAGTGGCATCACATGGTCTGGAATTTGCACAACGAAGCTAAAAATGTGTATTACCACATAGTTTCTTCGTGACCTTTGATTTTTCACGTTTCATTTTTCCTGCTTCGTCAGTCATGCAAAGAGGACGGTTTTTACAAATAACCCACAGTAATGTGTAACGAAACTTAATGTGCTTGTATCCAAGGGGGTGAACACGAATCCAGCTGGAGTTTAAAAATATAGTGTAAAAAGTTAACTAACAAAATCGTACAAATTAGTGCAAAGTTTTGTAGGTCTACTGTTTACTGAGTTCTATTGAACTTCCTTATTTGTGCAATTTCTTACGAAGTTTTTTAAGAATATATGGTATGAACTCTACCTGGAAAGAGCAAAGTTATCGCTTACTTTGGAGAAACATCAGTTGATTATCTGTTTGCTGAATTGTTTCTCGCCATGATGGCTGATTGATTCGCGAGATGATGAAATTGGAAAGTGAAAAAGCAAATACGGGACGACGAAACTAAAAGCTCTAAAAGCTCACTTGTGTGTTTTGGATGTCTCTTGATTACGGTGCGTACTATTCCTACTGACTCGTACTTTGAACACTTTCTAGGTCGGGTGGTATAGAAGACAACGAAGCTTGGGACTGGCTGTTAGAAAACGACACTGGAAATACCCAACCAGCACGTGACAAGAGGTGCAGTAGGAAAATGACAATACCAACGTTTCTCTATTTCTGTATTTCTTGTTAGCTTCAAACTTTGCGTCGTCGACGTTCTCGCAAAATTAGAGCTCTTTTTATTTTGGCTTTGGCGTAATATTTTTCTATTTCATATCTCAGGGCTCGACTGTACGAAGGGTGGATAGTGCTATCCGACGGCTAAATCTTATCTACGCGATAACTGAATTTTTTTGGATAATTTTTGGACAACAGCATCCATGATAGCGCTATCTACCCTTCGTATAACTGGAGAATAAATAGGTGCAAGTCGCTACTAAAGAAAGAAATATAACTTTTAGAAAATCAAGGGTGGCGTAGGGTAGTCGCCTCTCACCTCTAGGGTCTTAGTTTCAATTCCTTGATTCAACATTACATTTGAGTACAGTATGTTAGATCTCTCCCTTGATTCGTGGGCTTTTCTCCAGTGTTCCTTCTTCCGCAAAGCCTATAAGAAGCCATGCGCTGTCTTAGATCAGCCCAAAAAGTGGTTTCAGAGCTTGATAAAACGTAAAGTTTTTTTTTTGAAAAGAACGACACCTGATGTTGAAAAGGATTTTAAGAGCTATGAGGGATATTTTGGTTCAAATCGTCATATCTACTTTGTTTCAGTGTGGCAGATCAAGCCTGGAAGTTACTGCAATGTTATCTTGATAAGCTGAGAGACACAGAGAATGGTCGTTGCTACTACAGATGTGTTGCTAGCAAGTTATTATCGATAGGAGCACCTATACCAACCTGGTTAATCAACGATTACAAGGTAAGACATGTGGCATCGCAATACGTGTTTCTTATTTCTACTTTGTTAATATGATTTTGAAAAACATAATGTAACAGAACGTTCCCTTGCCTTAAGTTTAGTTACATTTTGTTAATATATAGTACTTCTTCATCATTTGACTTGCAAAAAATCAACCAATATCGATTTGTCTCAAAAAGGGATTATTTCAGGTTATTTAGGAGTGACAGAGTGGTGGATGGACGACTTGTTGTTTTTTCCCATTTGTTGGAGTTTGCGTTTCGCGTCCAAAATAGCCGCCAAATGTGACTGATTCCCTGGCTGTTATTTGGCATGAAGCAAAGATGGAAAATATTTCAAATTTTTTTTTTTTTTGGACTCTCCTTAGATTCACGGAGGAGTCTCCAGTTTTTCTGTAGAAGTTAGCTGTGCCTTATCTCTAATCGATCCTGAAGTTGTTACAGATAAATTATTTTTGAATTATTCATTCTCTGATGATATATAGGATGTCACAAATTATTTTTGAATTATTCATTCTCTGATGATACATAGGATGTCACACTTACCTTCATGTTACCGTTTGTTCACCGTTTTATCTTCTAGACTATCGTGCCTTTTTTCACTTAGTTGTCGTTCCCGGCATTCGTTTCCATTAGTTTACGGTTATCAAAGAAATTTTCGTACAAGTGAGAAACGACACCTCAAATTCTTAGTTGTACTGTACCCATACCGTTTCTTACCATACCCATGTACGTGTTAGGAAACATTCGTAAATAATAGAAAGCCATTTGAATGTTACGGCATATCGTTCCGTGTACCATGTCCCACACATGCGATAATCATTTTTTTCGGGGGGGGGGGGGGCATTATGATGTTACGGCATGCCGTACCGTGCCCTGATGTGCTGCAAGTCAGTACTCTATGTTTCCCATTCATGCGATAATCATTTTTTGGGAAGCCATTATGATGTTACGGCATGACGTACCGTGTACGGGCTGTAATAGGTACCGTACCTTTCCAACTCATACGATCTATGCCTAAGTGTACAAGATTTGGTGTCAGTTTTATTATTATGCTTTATTCATTCTTCATTCACCCTGTAAAACGTTTGATAGCCAAAGGCTCTTCAGTAATTGATTTTATTTCTACATAATTTCTTCAGAGGTTAAACCCTGCTGAGCTTCTTTACCTCTACGTAACATACGACATGTTGCAAGAAGCAGCTGATCTGGCAATTGAATATATCAATGCTGTTCTTGGGGAAGGCAAAGAGTATTTTGGGCTTAAGGTTAGTGCTTGATAACATGGTGCCAGGCAAGTGCTATACTCTGAATTACTTACCAAGCGATCAAAATATGTCTTCATGTAGAAAATATACTATTGGAAGTAATTTAGGGATTAAAGGGAAGGAGAGGGATAATGGACATTTGGACGAGAAATTGTGCTAAAACATTTTGGTGACAAATTTTTCTTTTTTCCCCAGACTGCTCTACATGCAACAATGCCTAGTGTATGGCTGCCGTACACTACCCTCGACCACTTACTTGCTGCCTTGGAAAGTGCTCCTGCTGATTCAAACTTAGCTGAGGTATACAATTCTTTGGTTTATTTCACCTCTCCTCCCTCCCTCCCTCCCTCCTTCCCTCCCTTCCTCCCTCCCTCCCTTCCTCCCTCCCTCCATCCGTCCATCCATCCAACAATCCAATGGCAGACTGTTCATGAATTGGTTTTGCTTTAATTTGCAAGTAAGCTTTTTAGGGTATGAGGCTATAAATCTTCTCCTAGCTGATTTATTATAACTCAAACATATGTTTAAGTAATGGCCTTTCCTTCCATCTAGATAAAAGAAGAACTTCTTGATAGACTGGACAGATATCATGAGCAAGTGGAGAGAGTTTCTGAAGACATGACAACTGCAGCTTGGAAAAGAGCTCAGCGAAGAAATGCAGCCGAGTCACTTCCATGGCAGTGAAATCGATATTGGCTTTTGTATAAACTTGTATTTTTAAATTATAATATTCTGCAAAATGGTTGACATACAGCTGCAGCAAAACCACAAACAACGACATATCTTTGAGATGATTTGGCTTTAATTTGGTAAACGAGGTCAAAAACTATGAACTATTCTCATTTTTGTAGGATTATGAATATAAACATTAATGATAGAAATTTGTTTAAATAAAGAAAAAACATAAAAAGTTTGAAGTAAGTTTTGTAGGTCTTTTTCCACATCTCATTATGAGGGTATTACCTATTTCACATCTCACTGATATGATTTATATGAAATGATAGAAATGTTTCTCGTTTAAAAGAAGGTACTCACATCATTCTGTCCATCATACCTCRCTATACTAACCTTAGCCTGCAAAGCAGGTGTTCTTGTGGGTTTGGGGAAAAACCAGGGTTTTGGGGGAACTTTGGAATGAGCGAGAATTGAAACAGAGCAAAAAAGAAGCGAAGGGGGAGGGGGCGGAAAGGGGAAGAAGGGAATGCCTGACAGCAGCCTTTGTTATTTTTTAATCTTTGTTATTATTTTCCCCCTCCCCCTCCCCCCACGTTCCCTTTTTTTGCTAGGTCCCATTTTTCTCGTGGGCCCTTCGTCTAAACAGGAACTCCAAAACCCTGATTCTTCCTCTCAAATCCATCAAAAGAACGCCTGCTCTGCAGACTATACTAACCTATCAGAATGCTTTTGAATTTTAATCTGACAATTRCAATTGTGGCTCACCATATTCACTTTCTAATTTGGACAGTTCATTGGTCCAAGAGTTTGAAGGGGTTGGGGAGGGGGKMGGGGAGGGAGAGGGAAGGTGAATGTTCTAGTTCAAAAATTACCAATAAATTTACAGTAACTACCAGTGGAGATACCAATTCTTAATAATTGATTTGCTGTTAATTCTTCCAACAAGCACACAGCAACTACCACTCCCTCTTTGCTCTGGCTTCCTTCTTGGAAGATGGGATTCACGATTCTTTGCATTTATTGGACAAAAACAGTTTCAAACATAAAATAGCTTTTCCAAAAGTTTGGATATCACTTGTTGCACTCCTAAGACATGGTGATAAGTGATTGTGGTGTGTGGAATATTCTTTTAGTCTCTCCAGACCAGAGGGCAACCAAAAATCTAAATATCTACCTCATGAAGGGAAATGATGCTATATTAGTGGTGGTGGTGATACAAAGTAATTTGGATAACCAATTTCATGCTTCCTATTGGGCTAATGATTCAAGCAGTACTTTAATTTCCCAGTAGATCAAGTAGATATAAAATATTGTCCTACTGATGGTTGTATCGTTGTGTACGGGAATTGTCAGGGGAATAGTAGTCGTACCCTAGGATAGCATAAATTAAACTATAATAAATATTTATGTGCACATGCTGATGATACATCRTTTAAATATGACTAAAAAATGAGACCACCCAATCAAATTCGCTTCGTGGTCTAAGGGTTAGGGTTGGGGTTGGCATTGTAGTAGTTTTTTGGTGCCGAATGTACCAAGTTTGATTCTTGGTGTCTTCACTTAATTTTTTTTCTAAGTGAGGAGAACCAAAATTTCTAAGTCCCACTCGTGTGTTCAGAAGCCTATGACAAACTTCGTTAATCCAGAGATTATACTTCAAGGGTGCTAAAAGGATTGCCAGTGCTAAAAGGATTGTATTTTAGAAGGGTTATAGTAAAATACCTTGAACTAAATAAAACAAAATGGATTTTATTAGCCATTCCGAGGTTGAGGTAGGGTCGAGTTGGCATTGCAGTGCACGTTGGGGCTATTTTAGGGGACATATTTCCAAAATGGCATCTATTTTGTCCCCTTAAACAGCCCACAGGCAGATCCAGGGGTGGTGAAGGGGTGGCTAGTTACCCCCTTTTGCTTTAATTTCTCAGTATTATCCTTAGTAAACCACCCCCTTTTTCTTGCATTCCTGGTAAAACCTTTGTAATAGACCTCCTTGGTTCTGACGTAATGTTGTCCCATTTCAGACCATGTGTCATTCCCTGGAGTATCATTTCTTTGTTTAAGGTTTGCACTCAGTTGCACATGAGAAGACACATGAATATGGATACAACTCAAACAAAGAATATTATTCTCAAGGGAATGACACGTGGCTTGAAATGGGACAACATTACACTCRAGCTCTCCAGAGCCGAGGAGGTCTATAGTTGCCCCCCCCCCCCCCTGCTAAAATTCCTGGTTCTGTCATTGCATCCCCAAAATGTATACTGGACTCAGTTTTTGCCTCAACCTCAGAATGGCTAATACATGTGGTTTCATACATGTCATACACTTATTGGAGTCTAAATTCCTGAGATATGGATCTAAATTCTAAAGCTTTTGGGCCATAGCTATGGTAACTATGGGGAATCGTAGCCATGAATACAGCCCCCTTGTAAATTTAACATTAATCTATTTATTTATAGTGCTTTAATACTCCTACTGAAGCTATTGAGGAGGTTGCTAGGTGACACAAATCACCATATGGATTTTAATAATGACCCACTTGATCCCTAGAACTCCTAATCCTACTCCATTCCAGGGGAGGTTCAGAAAATTCTATTTTTCTGTATAATAAATAAAACATTTATTCCATAACAAATAAATGTAAGAAATTAAATATATGAAAGATAAATGATTGAATTGTCTCCATGTATGATATTAGTTCGTTTAGATGACGTAACTTAATTTGAACACTTCTTTGACTTTCTTCTTTTTATGCAAGCAATTTCGTCCTCAAGCTTGGAGATTCGTTCCTTTAAATCCTGAATTAGGTTTTCTTTTTCTCTAATTTTTTTCAGAAGAAAAGTTGACTCATTGCTGTTTGTTTTGGGACATTCTGATGATGCTGATGCCAAGCCACTCGACTCTTCCTTGTAGTTTTTTGACGACTTCATTCCTCGTTGAAGCGGGAAAATCGTCGGTATGTTGATCATATACGTCTTTTTACCTCCCTCGAAATGATCACTACAAACTCGATGGCCATTAGTTGGTTTGAAAAGACTGTTCTTTGATTTTCCGGGTTTTGCAATGTTTTCGATCCATACTTCTCGTAGTTTGTGATCCTTAGGGAAAACGTAAAAGCTTATATGTCTGTCTTTCTTGGTGTTGTTCTTGCAACCTGGAACACAGCACGTAAATCCACCCATACTTGACCTTCTTCGGCCAACAGCGAGGACTACAATTCCCATAAGACATTGCCCCAGATTCTGATCTTTTTATTTTTTTTCTAGAATCCATGTATGGGGTACCTGTGGTATACTTTTGACGTCATTCCGGTAATGTAAACTAAATCGGTCCTCTGAAAATGGCGGATGAAAAACATGTAACAGAAATCAAAGACATTCGTCCAAGTTCAAAGAATATTAACTGTATATTTATCTGTCTAGAAGTAGGTGAGTTAGGGCTTCTTTTTACTAAGTGCTCTCTTGAGTCGTAATTAAAAGGTTTCACGTGTTTTTGTGTAGGGAAACCAACCCAGACTAAAGATGGCCATACCGTTCGTTCATGTCGCGTGGCCGATAAAAGTGGTTCTATTAACGTATCTGTTTGGGATGAGTTTGGAGATTTATTGCAGCCAGGAGATATTATAAGATTTACGAGAGGGTAAGTTTATTGGATATCTAGAGAAAGGTATTTTGTTATTCTCATAACATGCCTTTCATTTGACAGTAGTGCTTCATAAAGGTGGGGGAGGGGGTGGAGGGGAGGGGATGGAGGAGGAAAGTTATATAATCTATACCTAGGGTCTAATAAAAAGAATATATCCTCCAGAATATAAAGTGATCTTTTTATAATCATTTAGTAATAGAATAGATATTGAAGTTTGATGATCAGTCAATGGAATATAAAATTTATGACCTTATCATTTGGTATTAGATCAGGGGCTGTGGAGGGGGCAGGGGGAGGCCATAGCCCCCCTACTTTTTCCCTTTTTTCAACCCCCCCCCCCCTCCCCCACTCATTTTTAGGGTGCTTGTGACTCCTGCAGATGCTGGTAATCAATTGCAATTGATTGGGATTGTCACATAAGATTTGTCACAGTAGTAATTTCTATTCACAGATATGCTAATATTTGGAAAGGTAGCCTTACACTATACACAGGGAGAATGGGATCTCTGGAAAAACTAGGAGAGTAAGTGTCTCATTCAAGCATGAAAACTTAATTAAGGGTCTGTTAAAAAAAGACAACTTTTATAAATCCCTCTTTGTGATTGGATGGTGATGCATACTTTATAAAAGACCACAGCATGCATGTGCACTTTCTATTCCATCATTCATATGTTCTGCTAATCCCTACATGCCTTATAACTGCACACAGCATGTGTGCACATTTTCTATTTCTTCAATTGATTGATTGACTGACTGATTGAACGACTGTCTGTCTGATAGATGGAAGAGAGGGAGGGAAGGAAGGGTGGATGAAGTTAATAACTAATATAATAAACTCTTAGTACTAATGATTTTGTTTCAGTTTCTGTTTAGTGTTCTCTGAGGTTCCCAATATGAGTGATCCTTCTTTAGACATTGTCAAGAAATTTAAGCAGGTAAAACTAACAAAAACATCCTGGCCTTGAGAACCAATCACATTATAAAGGGAAGGCATGGTAAAGACAGCAGGGCTGAGAGACAGGGGGCAGAGAACAACTTCCCTGGATCTCTGAAGACAAATCACCTGGAGTAATTCCTAAAGTATTGATTATTGTTTTGGTTTGAGCAAATTCTCTGTGTTTGAGTGGGGGAAAAACCTGGGGGTTAGGGGGATGGGGAGGGCATCCATGGTTTTATCGAAAACTCAAAACTGGGTGAAATTTGAGTATGAGAGAAAGGGTTACAGAGTATTTTCAAAGAAATAATGAATTTATTGCCTTGTGTATTACTTTGATAGCAAAGTGAGCAAGGTCGTAGTTCACCCAACTCATCAACCAACACTCCAAACACAAGGTCTCAACCACAACCACCCCAAGAAACCACCCCACCATCGAACAACCAGCACCAACCAGTACAACAGCAAAATAATTCACAACGATTCAACCCTTTCCAACGACCAGAGCCTATGGCACCTACTGTCACTAAGTCTGAGACCTTACGAGATCCTCGTTTGAGATCAAGGGGTAATAACAATAGTGATGGTAATAATAAAACTACTGCAACAATTGGAAACAGTAGTGGAAGTGGTGCTGATCACGGCTCCCGTAATGTAATTAATAGCAGTAGAGACCCAAGAATGCGCCGGTGATGTTATTTTGAATTCAGCCAACTTGTACTGTTGGGGTTCCTGTGTGGTACAAGAGATACTGTACTTGGTCTTTCCCCTTCACGTCACAGTATCACACCACAGGACTCCCATAAGATAGAGTAGCCAGCAGAGGGGGTTCTATTATTATTGAATCTAGTATTAGGATTAATATAATTATTATTATATTATTTGTATACAGGGTAATTTGTAGTGTAAGTTATTTTTTTAATACAAATATCTACTTTTGAATGCATCATAAAGCTGAAAAAAATATTTCACCTTATGAAAAAAGCTAAAATTAAGAAATTCATTGCTTGGCGTTGGCAGCTCCTTCAGTTAAAATTCAATTGCCATCATAAAGGGGCGATCACACGGAGCAATTTTCTTTGCAACTTTTCTCGCAACGGCGTTGCATGGAGCATTGCAGCGTGTAACCTACAGCGCAATTTGATAAAATGTTGCGAGACAAGATGCAGCAATCTTTGCGAAAAGTAGAATTTGTTTCTAGTTTTGGCACTCCGGCATAACAATACCAAAAAACAATATAAGCTTTACAATCTATACAAATGAAATATGTTATAAATTAGAATTACGAATCGTCACTAATAATTTAATTGTATTTAATTAATAAAAATGATGAATGAAACTCAGAGTGATTTTATATAACCCGTGAAAGAAAAATGACTATTTAGTTAGAACTAGTTGACAAAAAAACAATAGGCTTGGAGTCTAATACTAATATGCGTATTATTTTTTCACGGGATAAAATCACTCTATCAGAAGTCCAGGATATCTCTAAAATCCCCCGTAGTTTTCTCTTTTCGAATTCGTTTCAAATCATAGCTGATAGTGTGTAATTAAAATCAGAATTTAAAAGGAACAGACTGTCTGTCTGTTGTTCGTTGTTTAGTTGTTGCAACTGCGGGAGGATACAAGGGATAGTCCWGACACCAAGACTAGAAGGTTCTGTTTACTGCTGCAAGCTGCAAACAAATCAGTTAAGAAGCCTTTAAACATCTTGTARCATTTACGACAATCGCGAAACATCATTTGACAAGCACACTGAATGAAAAAGAATTAAAAACATCTTCACGTAGAAGAAAAATAAAAGAACACTTCCCGAAAATGGGTCTCTCGTTTGCGGGAAGAAACATTGGTAGATCCAGTGGTGGTCACAGGGTTCCCGTGAATTCTTTTACCAATTACTTAATATATTGACTTACATAAAAGGTTTCTCATACAGTAGGTTGTAAACATTTATAATAAGAGAACGCCCCATTCAAAATCCTCTCAATGTTTTAACATTTTATATAAAGAGGACTCCCCACTCACATTCCAGAATTTGCTCCTGTGTTGTGTGAATGTAAGCATGTTGTGGTACTGAAAATGAATCTTGACATCTCCCCCGCTCATTTTCCGGTGTGACGGACCGATCGCCTGAACCCCATTGTGTTTCTTTGTGACTTGCTTCAGATCACTTACAACTGCAATGTTGGTCTAACTTTGAAGCCAAGTGTTTGAATTAGAAACGAAAGCCCACTCGTCCCGGGGGGGTACTCCGACAGAATTTGGGTAGGGGTGTTCCGCTGGGATTCTGAAAGGGGTACCCTGCTTATGACAAAAAAACCCAAATTTGTAGACCCTGTTTATGACAAAAGATATAATTAATTGAACTGAGTTCCCGTTTCAATTATCATGTCATCTCGCGTATCGTTTTTTTACGACCATAATAACCAGTTTCGGTCAGTACGAAAGTAGAAATCCTGAATATGACAGGAAATTGAGGAAGAACTTGGAACTTGAGTGAAATTGCATACCCTGTTTATGACAAGAAGCTCGAAAAACCATACCCTGTTCAGCGGATCATCCCCGTATAGTCCATATATGGGRGTMCCCCCCCCCCCCACCCCCGGGCCACTCGTACTGTTTCACTTTGTTTGTGCACAGAGTCACGTCGAGAGTTGTTTGCAATTGCGTGACGAGCATGCGTGACTGATATTGGCACGCGTACGTGCGGCTTTGCACGCGTCCGTATTCACACATCTTTGGCATTATTTCTTTCACTTATTTTTTATTCGTCTTTTCCATTACCGTTTTCTTTTCTTTTCTATCGTATTTATATCCCTGTCAGCTATAGACTAAACAACAGGCATAAATTGTTTATTTTCAAATTCCAAACAACTTCGTGATTCATTGCATGCACATGTTGCAAGTTTGTTGACGACGGGCGTCAAGCTATTTTTAGCTTTTTTATAATCCGTATAATGCAAAATTATAATCTATTTATCTCAAAGTATTTTCATTTACGGAAGATTTTTACATCACTTATTTAATAGTTTGAAAGACTAAATTTTCCATATGTGTTTTTTATCTTCGTGCAGTGAAGAATCATCCTTTCCTAAAAAGAGAAAGAAAGAAAAAACCAATCACATTAAAAACACTGTTGAAGTGAATTTGAACGACCATTCATCCAAAAAAAAAAAAAAAAAATTACATCTGTAACTCTATTGCGCAATAATTATGTTATCTGATAACTCAGGAAAAGGAAAACAAGAAAAAAAAAAAGAGAAGACAAAATGAAATGAAATAAAAACGCGCAGTTCCATCGTTTTTATTACCTCGGCCCTGAAATTTTGTTTTGCACGTTATTTTCCTTTAAAAACTGTACGATAGGACACTATGTAGACTATGTGGGAGTAGCGGCCTTTCTTTCATGCCCTTTTATTTCCTTGATAAAGGTACTTTTATTTCCTATCGCAAAAATTGTTTACTGGCTTCCCGCCTTGGTGACCTAGTAGTAAAGTTGCACCACGTTGCAAACATTTTCGACGTATTTTTGCAAGAGTGAAGTGTTCTCGTTCGTCCGCCGTAATCAAAAATCTTCATAGCAAACACAGCAAAACAACTGTACGGTAACTGTCCATCTAGTAAAATTTTGTTATCAACTTTATGCAGCCTAGTGAACATAAAATAACGAGGTGGCCATACCATGCACCAAACTCAAAGTAGCAGAATTCTTAAATTTTTAATTAAGAAAACCCAATTCATACCATTGATCAAAAATCTAAGGGATACAATGATTTTCGATGGTTTTTTTTCCCTCAAAAAGTTTGTCAACACATTATCAGAAGTTAATGCTGAAGACGTAAATGAGGTTTGTACTCTTCCCTGRGGCCGATCGAAGATAATTTATTCTGATGCATGCATTATGAAATGTTAATAAGTCACGTAGCCAGTGTCTGTGTCTGTCAGATCGACCAAAGGTACGTCAGACGTAAGTTGAAGTTACTAGTAAAAATTTCGAAAATTTGCCAGTGATCAGAAAAACTCGAGGTAAAAACCGAATTTCTTTGCACTAATAGGAAGAGTGTGTCCAAGGTAAGTAATTCCAAACGCGATATTCAGGAAAAGTGTGATTTAGAATCGAAAGAAATTATGTCGAAGATTTTTAACCAGCCTCCATCTTGTTTTTTTCTCTCARAGGGACACCGAAGGCCACGGTTTTGCATTACCGAACAAAGTGAGGGAAACATTCGCTTAAATATTGATAAAAGCGTTTTTCGAAGCCTTAAAGCCAATCGTTCATAGTCCTTGGCAGAGTTCTAAGACTGTGTTGAGATTTTTTGAGGCTAAACGAAAGTTCCAGGTACAAAGCGAATCGATACTATCAGTTCTATATAGCAAGTGTATATGTTTGCGAGTAAACTCGAATCCAAGATGACGTCCAAAGCACCAACTAAAAACAAGTAAGTGGCACGAATATCAATCTTTCTGCACATTAAACAATCATTATTTTTACCTTTGGTGTTAAACGATAATTATATTTGCATTTAAGTTTGTTGCGTGTGTTCTAAAGTCTAAAGTGTGATTAATAGTGTTCAACACTCGCTCGACGTGAAAAACGCAATATTAAGAATATCACAAAATGAAGAATTTAACCCACAGTATATCTCACTATTCGTCATATGACTCTTTGATTATGCAGTCCAAATTTAAAGAGATCGAGACATACGGAAAAAAAACGTAAAAAACAACGACCCACAATATTGCAGTTTCATTCGTCCGTGTACAAGTACCTATGTAATGGCCTCACAGCTCGACCTTGGTTGCATTCTTCTTCTGAAAAAACACTTCTAGGATACTAAGTTGCAATACTTACTGCATAAAATCCAACAGTATTGAAAAAATATATTTATGAAGTCACAGAATAATAAGTTCCTTGGGCAGCTTACTAATTATCATCTATTTCGTTCTGTTTGCGTGATAAACTCATAGCTTTAACGTTACCTTACGGTAATTCTACTCTCTTCGTTTTAAATTACCCAGGATTTCGAGCTTGGATGCGTACAGATGAACTAAAACTGTATTTTATCTATTTTGCATTGCTAGAGCAAATCGCGATGTTCCAACATCCAGCAGATCACATTGCAACTTTTAAAACTATCAGATTGAATTTGAGTTGTCTTTACACCACGTGAGAATGGGTGTATTTACCGTAAATTAGTAAGGAACTATTAAACTTATATACAGTATTGCTAGATAATGTAAACCTTTTGTTTTAATTATTTTTTTTGTTTTTGTTTTTGCTCTTTTCACGCGTGCTATGATTAAGTGGTTATCATTAAATCTAATCCTTTCTCCTTCTATATTTGCAATTAATTAATGGCACTTCATTTACAGGGTTGCTAATGCAATAAAAGAAAAGAAATCCTGAGAATTGTCCTTCAACATCTGCTTTCGCAATCAATCAGCAAAGTGAAACTAACAGGATTTATTTAGGAATTGCGAAATAGTTCCAGACACATTTTCTTTTGCTTTGTGCAGGGGTGTATTTTGCATTAGCAATATTGGAATCCAACCACATGAGAGAATAGGATTTGACAAATATTAACACATGCAATTAGCAAACATACACTCCTCTCACACACCTCCTTTTAGACAGCAATGACAGTAGGTAGTCGTAATGACTGATTTTTTGATTGGTCTATTGTTCAATGGAAATGGATGTTTAACCATCTATGAAAATATTCAACTGACTGTGAAAGATAATAAGATTCAACAAAAAAATGTCACCACGTGCAATTAATATTAGCACGTATACACTCCCCCTTGCACACCTCCATGTTAGACAGCAATGATATTACATAGTCATAATAAGTGATATTTTTGATTGACCTGCCGTTCGTCTGAAATGAATTAACAAATACATAATTTGTACCTTCTTAGTACAGAATATGTGCATCTTACTTTCATTTTCTCTTACTTCATCTCTTTCTCAATGAATATTATTTTTTGCACATCAAATGCTTTTGTTTTTAAAAATAGACAAAAACCTAAAATGTTTAAAAAATAACTTTTTTCAACATGACGGCCCATATAAACCTTACTTATGGCTGTTTATCTCTTGTTTCAAATAACTACTTTAGAGTATGAAAAGCTTTTTATTTCTGCATTTACTGATCACGACTATTTAGAGAAAGTGCAAGGGCAATCAAGGTGACTTTTCATGGGTTTCTTTCAAACCTCTGTTGTGCCACATCCATTTGTATTTTGTTTCTTTTATATATGCTCTGGTACAAGGTATCATTCAGTTATCTTTCATGTATTCTTTGAATATTTATCAAATATGCTTGACAAAATTAGAATTTCAAATTTTGTTAGTGAGCTATCTATAACAGCTGTTGTCAACTAAAGACATTATTTTTTGAGCATCTTTAAAATGAGCCCAAACTTTAACCAAACCTGCCGCTCGAAGAATTCTTTATTTTTATTAGCGCAATTTAATAGCTTAATAACTAGATACATTTATTCCATAATTCATTTTAATTCCTTCAAAATAAAAGCTAAATTACAAAATAATGCAATGTTAGGCCAAGTAAAAAAAAGTCATGTTTATTGTCTGGATTTCTAAAAAAAAGAGTGCGGTGGGTTTTTTACTTTATTTACTGACTTTCTATTATTAACAAGAGTACCGAATTTCTCTTTGTACCAAATTGAGGGAGACTTGGTTCGAAATGAAAGTAGCGCCTGTTACTTTTTTTTGTTTCGATTTTTAAAAACTAGGTGGAATGATAAAAAAAAACAACAACAAAGAATGGCCAAAAAAAAAAWAAAGCGGGCGGGGACGATAAACATGTAATTATTTTTACTTGGCCTTAACAATTTGATACTTTTGGAGTCGGTTGTTTCGATAGACTGTCTTCTTTTTTATTTTCTGGATGTTTAATTTGTAATCATGTCCAGTATTGACGACTATGACAAATTGGTATTCACAARACATAGCATCTCACAAAAATATTTATTCGCTAGAGTCTCCGATCCATAAATTAAGTTGTCTGTGTCTCAAAATAAATTTGCATGTCTTGTGTATATGGTTTCATCCAAGTATTGCATTGACTGTTTGTTACTTCAATAATTTTTCCAGGGAAATCCAAAAGAAGTGCAAATCCAGAGATGCTGCAAGATCCCGCAGAGGGCAGCAGAATGATGAGTTTATTGAGCTCTCGCATCAGCTGCCACTGCCTGAGGCAATATCAGGCCAGCTTGACAGGCTGTGCATAATGAGGCTAACAAACAGCTATATCAAGATCAAAAAACTACTCAACTCCATGATGAATCAAGGTATGATTCAATGCAACCATCAGACCCCTTATTGCAGCACGTCAGAATACAGCTCAATTTGGAGGAAATAATAATAGGTTTCCAATTCTCATGAGATTAAAATTCTTTTATTATGTCCTCCAAATTGAACTCCTTTGACGTCACATACAAGGCCTGGTCTATTTAACTAGTAGTTAGATAATTTATGAACTAACTACTTTTCATTTGCCGAGTTTTATCAGATCTTTGGATGCCCTTTAATTATCTATTGTTTCTGATGCATATTCCACATTATTATGAAACCTATATRTGACTGATGTCTGAACTGGACCTGAGTTCTACTTACAGGACTTATGATAATGGCCAGTCATTAGACAATGTCTGGCCAGAATAGACAGTTTTCTCAAGGTTGCATGTGCATCCACCTTGACGGGCCACAAAACTGAAAAATGCAAATTCAGTAAAATTGAGAAGCCAGTTTTATATTTTAAGAGAATAATCGATTTGATAAATTTATATTGAAAAATCTAATAGATATGTATGTTAATTCTCATTATAAAGTTCCTGTTCATGTATTGTGGCCCCGTCAAGTTCCTTAAATTTGGATGCGCACTCAACCTTGAGAAAACGATCTATTGGAAGTTATCCGGTCAAACCTTTTTCCTTATTGGTCATTTTGACCAGTAATTTTTGGTATTAAAGAAAGATATTTTCTGGTTTAACCCCCCCTCTTAAAGTATTAGGCAATAATGGGGTAATCTAGCTTGAGTTATATTATTTGTCTAAACAAAAATACATTTTCCTGTTATTCTGGAAAATCTTCATCTTCATTATCAAATAAAGTTAAAAGAGTGATCATGAATAGAATTATAAACATAATAAAAACAATATAATGTTCCTAGAAAAAAAGATCGACAACACATAAGACAACAAATTTCCATTCACCACAGAAATATTGGTATTACAAAAGAAATTTGTTATTTCAGAATTTTCATAAACTTACTTTATTTATAGTTTCATTTATAGTTTTAAACTTAAATAATGAATTACAATAAAGTTTATTTCAGAATTTTCATAAACTTACTTCATAGTTTTTTAGTTTTTGATTTTATAGTTTTAAACTTAAATAGATAGAAACCACCTGAAGATTTTTTCAAGGCCAGGAAAATATTGAAGTCTTCATTATTCTTGGCATGTTTTCTAATACTTTAATTGTTCAGATGATAATGCGTAAGATTTTTACTGATAACATGATGGTATTATACTAATTAGTTTATCAGATGTTTCAGTTACATATTGTATGTTACAAACTTGTACGTGCTATAACTCATGCAGGCATTCATTTGTTATGTAATAACCTAAAAATGGAGGGATTCATAAGCTAAATGATAATAGATTATTTTCAAGTAGAGATTTTATTTAAATTACATGAAAAAACATTTCATGTTTTATATATTTTTTTATTGTGTTAGATAATTTTTTAATTTTAAGAAAAAATACTTTAGAGTAAACTAGTTTGATCTTGGTCAGTGTTAAAGAATATATAGAGGATATTACATGGGCGCGCAGAGATACAAATTTTATCTTTGAGTGTTGAAAAGATCTTTCAACACGAGAAGATAAATTTCATATCTCCAAGCGCCCATGTAATATTCTCTTTATTATTTAATCATCCATAAAATCAACTTAATAAGCCTTTTATTATTATAAAAAGTTTTTATTTATAAACTAATAGCATGGTAACGATATTTTCACATGTGAAAATAACATGCTTTTTTTTTTTTTTTTCACATGTGAAAATATCAGATTTTTGAAAAGGAGAAATATAGGTATTTTATGGATAATTATATGATAAAAAAAGCATAAGCAGTGTCCAGATATAATTTAAGTCATTCGTATACTGTATAGAGAAAAATATATACTCATTAGCTGACATTTCAGACGTCAGATTCTTGATGCATCATATGTTATTGGGGATCAAATTTGTGAAATGATTAGTTTGGTGCAATAAATGTTATTTATTTTTGTTTTATCATTAAGAAAATATTATAAAGATACCAGATTCAAACGAAAGTGCTAAAGCAATCAGCTATCATCACCATTTTTGGCACAATTAGATTATAAACTTAATAATGTATATACTAGGCAAGAGATTATCGAAATAGAATCCTGTGACCTAAGTTTTTGTATCTGTTTGAAGGACATGATGGCATTTGATATTTGATAGCATGTCAGTTGTGGGAAACCCTGGACATTTTTCTGTTCAAGATTTTTTTGAAAATCTTATTTAGGGATGGACCATTGGATAATTGAGGGGGGGGGGGGGTGCAGGAATTTATGTTGCCTGATATTTATTTTTTGTAACAACCCCTGCCCACAATGTTTTGTGTGTTCCATATTTTTTTTACTGAAAGGAGAGGTGCAATATTTTTTGAATAGGTGTTCAAAATGCTTGCTCGATAGCTCAAATTTTTTTTGGGATTTACGAAACCCCCTACTCAAATTGTATAATGGTCTGTCCCTTATTACATAAGGCTATAGAATAAATAATATCTTTAATTTGTATCATTTTCTTTTGATTTAAATCGACTATTGGATTGTGTTACATGCATGAAATTGACTTACCCATGTAATATCCTCTATTTTTATTATATTGACAGTTTATTTTCTTTATACCAGATATCAGACAAGTACAGCAATTGAGTCTGAGGGGATCATCTGTTTATGACAAACAAGCTTTAGAGGTTAGTATAATAAAGATCTGCGATGACCACTGTTATTATAGGGGTGCCACAGCAACAGTGTTGTAACATTGAAAAAGTCCAGTATTTCTCCTTAAGAGGGAATTTATTTTTCCTGTTAATTTTGCATAACAACTTCCAAGGCTGTCATGATCCCTTGTAGTAAAAAATTGTTATCCAGGGCAGATCCAGGAACCTGAGGAAGAAGGTGATGGAGAGGACGGAGATGGAAGATATAACTACTAGACGAATCTCACATCATCTAATCTCAGTTATGCAAGACATAACCATACAAAACCAGCAGGGTAGGGGTTAACAGTCCCTAATTACTAAGCCTTTCAGACACAATTTGGTGACTATTGCTTCCATAAGAAATAGGAAACAACTTGGAAGTTTTACATGGGGAGTAGAGGTGGATGAAAGGAATCTTTAGTGCCCAATTYATAATCAGAAGTTTGTAGTGACAGTACATCATATAATGATGTTTATATGTTGTTGTTTTAGGCTATGGATGGATTTCTTTATGTGGTGGCACCTGATGGCCAGTGTTTGTATATATCAGATAACATTTCCCACTACATGGGACTCTCTCAGGTAATACATCTATATTCTTGACTACTGTAATCAAACATACTCTTTGCATTTACATTGCCACATACAGCTTGATGTGGTGCTGTTAACAATGGATGCTAATAAGAAATCTTTTGTTAACTGCCACCAGCGCTCCCCCAAGAGGCCGCAATGATGTAACATGCAATCAAAAAATTGAAGCAAACAGAGGCATAGTGACATGATAGTAACTGATTGTTTTGTTCTACCCAGCCCGATTAAAGGGTTAACTAGCTAACCTTGAAAGACTATCTGTGCCTGAATATGTCATAATATTATAATTGTGCTTGTGTTGCTATAAAATCAAGTCTTAAAGAAATAATCCAGCTAAGTGGTTAAATGCTCATACGTTTATTTAAATATTTGCTTTGCCTTGATTTTGACCACACCAATGACTGGCCAACAGATGGTCAAGTGTTGATTGACACTGTGTACATGTCTTATTGATGTGCACAAAAGGTTTTACCAAGTCCTTTTCAATTCATAAAGGCTAACTTTATCAAAGTTCGATTTACAAAATCATTTCATTAATCCCCAACTTAATTGATAAAAGTCACTTTTTTTAAAGTGTCATTCAAGCGCTTATTGGCACCACGAGGTCATTGGGTGTCCAATTCACTTCTCATTAGTACTAATGTTGTTAACCTTTCAATATTCCACTGATCATCTTAGATTGAAGTTACTGGCAACAGCCTTTACAAGTACGTTCACCCATGTGACCATGAAGAACTAGCCAATCAACTGGGAGGACAGATCCCGCTAGAGGACATGGAGATCTTTGATGGGTTGTTCTGTTCAGATTCAGTTTTTATGATGAGTAACCATCTCAAAAAAGGTTCCAAGAAGGCTAAAGATATCAACCCACACAGGTCGTTCTTCCTGCGCATGAAGAGCACCTTGACTAGCAGGGGAAAGAGTGTCAACCTGAGAGCATCAACCTACAGGGTAAAGACTTCCTTCCTTTGTTTGGATACTAAGAAGCATATTAAGGAAAAGAACACTTAGCATTGCTGTTATTGGGATATCGGTTAATGTATTAGCAGGAAGTGGGAGTTTTTAAAATGTTGATTGAATTACACTTTAAGAGGACTTTGATAGAGTAAATCATAACTTGAGCCAAGAGTTCTAGTTAAGTTTTTTTTCAACTTTTTATTAAACTCGTAAAAAAAATTGTATTGCAAATTTTCATTTTTTTTTTTGCAAAGGTTTGAATAGTAAATGTCATAAAGGAGAAGAATTGTAGAATTGTACAAACTGATCTATATAAATTCATAAGTTCAAAATGTTTTTTATGGTGTCTGTCTTCAGGTTGTCCACTGCACTGGTAGTATGAAGTACACCGAACGTATTGGTGCAGATGGTAAAAAAGAAAATGTCCCTCTATTCCTCGTAGCCATTGCTGTACCACTCATGTTTGCTACAACCTTTGAAGTACCCCTGGACAGAGGGACATTCACAAGCAGGCACATGCTTGACATGAAGTTCTTGCAGTGTGACGAAAAGTAAGTCCATTTAAACACCGTTAGACACCTTTGGAAACGCTCTCGCAAGGGCGCGGTTTCACGCGAAGACACGCAGCTTGTCTCGCAGATTCTTATGGCTTCTCTTGCGCAAAATTTTCTTTTAAGTTGCAGAAATTAAGTGTTTTTTTTTACGTTTGATAAAAACAAACAATTGCGTTTATACTTATAGACGTGGACTTGTAGTTTCTTATCTTTTTAAAGATAAAAACGACTACAAATAAAAACGAAATAGTGTCCTAACAAACCCGATGGAAGTGGACATCATAAGTACTATTACAGTCTGAGCACATTCGAACCGTGAAGACCGCTTCGAGTTTATTTCAGGTTATAATTTGAAATACACCGAGTGATTAAAATAACCAAACGATTGGTTCAAGGGATTAATTTACATTATGCATTTTTAAAAAGTGTCAAAAAAACTCGTTTTAAAACTTTTTTTAAAGTGTTGACGGTTCGAGTTTCCGCAATATATCGGAGAATATATCTATAAAGCCACCTTAGATGGTCTAGCCGACTATTTAGACAACACTAATTATAATGTGATCAAATGATGTAACATGTGCTCCAGAAATCGTATCGTCTGAAGGTATTCATCAGATTATTTGAAGTAATTAATTTCAAGATCCGAAGACCTCATGTAGTTAAGCGAAAATATGTTAGTATTACTGCTACATGTGCAACATTGAGTTGTACAAAACAAACGGCAAAATAAAAACAGCCATTGTCTGGGCTCGCTGTGTGGAGCAAGATATTTTTACGGTTTTAAAATATTCCAACCTAGTCTATTGACGAAATTTGTTCTGGTTTTTGAGAATCTTTGAACCATGTTAAATGGTGCATGACAGGTCAATTAGCTACAGGAAGTTTTTTTTTTGAAAATGATAGCACAGTTAGCCTTGCCCTTGGCCTTTGGCAACAATATTAGCTACGATTTTTGCTGGCTCATGCTGACTCACGAAAACGTGCCTTCTCTCACGTTAGGGCCTCCAATCTCCTGGGGTACTCTCAGAAAGAGTTGATCGGGAAGTCCTGGTACAACTTTCATCATGCAGCAGATTTGGACAATGTACTTATGACCCATAGGCTTTGTAAGTAACAGATGTATTAATAAATAACACGTTTGCATGATGGCGTCATTTGACTCCCACTACCAAGATGCTTCGCGAATTTTTTAAATATTTATTTAAAGCCCCGTTTACGCTAGCGATTTTTGCGGCGTTTTTTTGCTGCGATTTTTTTGCGATTTTGTCCATAATAAATAATGGTAAAGAATGTACTCGTAAAGTTTTTTTCAGGATACCAAGATTTTCCTAGACGAATGTCTCTTTTGAAGGATGAGACAAAAGATTTCATATTTTCGAAAACTGCTACAAAAATCGCAGCAAAAATCGCCGCAAAAATCGCTAGTGTAAACGGGGCTTAAAAAAGAGAGAATAGTAAGACAATATTGGTGGTAAAAAACTGAACAAAAGAAAGTGCGCAAGGGAGTCTGGTAGAAGAGGTCATTGACGTCATCATGCGTATCTATTATCTATGAATGTAAACGTGATATCTAGACGTGTAACGTTTTCATTATCTGCTTTTTTTGTGAGAAAAAATAGACACTAAATATGTTTATTATTATTAATTATTATATTTTTTATTTTAATTAATGTAGAGCCACTATTTGTATTCACTTTAAGCTTGATTCGTATATATTTATATCTATATATGTATTTAAATTTTTCACTATGCATTCCAGCTTCTTATTGAGAAGATTTATTTTTTTAAGACAAACAATTTTCATTGTATTTTGCGACCTCACGTTGAAAGTTAGTCTCCTACACAGGCGCTATTAGTGTCGTCACGCAACGCTCACTCCCCTAAGTAGCTAGTAGACTAGTCGAAAATGTGCGTTTCACTATGTCACCAGTCGCCAGTCACTATGTCACTATCGTGATAACCATCTCCTCGCAAATTGTCTTTTACCTATAATATACATAATTTCACTATAAGAATAAATGGTTTGAACTAGGGTGTTGAAGTTTGTTGTGGAGTGTAATGGTCTGGGTGAGTGTATTGAGAAATTAAAGACTGTTGTTGCTAGACCAGACTACACTCACCCGGACGATCACACTTCACGACAAACATAATTTGTCAAAATCAATATATATATATWTWTTTTTTGCATTGGGAATCGGCTTTTTCTAGCCGCAAGCTATTTTGGCTATTCTGTGTTCTATTATCGTGAAACTCTTGTAAGTATTTTTCAACTTTTTATGTATTTGTATTTACCATGATTTCAGTGCTGACCAAAGGCCAGTCTGTCAGCAAGTACTATCGATTCTTAGCTCGTGATGGTGGTTGGGTCTGGCTTCAGACTAAAGCTCACGTTGTTTATGACAGCAAGACCTGTCAACCACAGTTCGTCTTTTGCATCAACTACGTGTTGGGGTAAGTAATAATATCTCTTTCCACAGTAACGTATAGGTTAGCAATGAACTCTTTGCAATTGCATGTGACGTCAAAGCAGCTCGATTCGGAGGACAAAACACAGTGATTTTAATGTCCTGAGAATAGGAAAGCTATTGTTTTGTCCTCCAAATTGAGCTGCTTTGACGTCAAATACAAGGGGGTCTATAAGAGGTACAGTTTTGATTAAATGTTGGGTCATTTTGTATTTAACAGAGGAAAGCAACGGGCCAACTTGATCCTTTCAAACGAACAAAACAACCCGATTCCTGTAGCTGGTGGACTTAAGAGCATACTCAAAACAGACAATACCCTGATGAAAGACAATAAAAACGCTATTATCCTAGACGAACGTACCAAGCTGATCAAACAAACTAAAGCAGGGACGAACAAGAACCAGGAGGGTATAAAGAAAGAACAACTATTTGGAAGCTGTGCCGTCAAGCAAGAGAAGAACAAGAAGTTCTGCGACTGCCTTGAAGTGGATTGTGAGCACATGAACTTCCAGGAGTGCTTCCCCGTGGCTTGGGAAGACGTAATCCAGCAGCAAGAGGAGTACGAACAATACACTTGGGACCACTACGGTGAAGCACCTATCGATACCCCACCCATGTCACCTGGCTCGCTCGACAACGATTCTCCAGTAACAGAGAACGACAAAGCAAGTGCTTTACTGACAGCAGACCTGGAGGATAGCGCACCGTTCCTGCCTTCACCGAGCACTGATAAACACTTGATGAAGATCAAAGAAGAGAAAGATGACTGCAGCATGAAGGATGAAGAAGAAGATGATGACGATGAGAATCTTCACGGACGCGCTCCCTTCATTCCTCCCCCCTTCACCGACACTGGCCTGACATGTGACGATGACATGTTAACTGATGTGTCGTTTGGGGACTCGTCGTGCTGGCTAGATGGTAGCGCCATCAAAAGCTTCTATACATCATCAGGAAAACTCAAAAGAGCATCTCAAAGCCTGTCCTCGTCCCCCGTATCTGTGAGAAAAGTACCGGATAATATTCGACGCAACGGCTACATCACCAACGATCTTGTCAGCACCCAGCGAGTGTTGTTCCCATCAGTCACTCAGTTTGATGCTGAAGTTAACGCTCCTGTACAGTCTTGTAACCTGTTACAGGGAGATGAACTCTTGACTGCGCTGGATCAGGAGATGATGGATATCAATCAAGGGTATATGTGATTTACGCTTATTTAGGAGTTATTAAGGAAACTATATGTATGAATAGAGTGGATGTGTTATATTGGTGGTTTTCAACCATTCCCAAGAGAATTAAATAACAAAAGACACGGCGGCCATGTTGGAGGATATAACAAAAGAATTCATTGACAATGCTTTTGTTAAGTTCCCTCAACATGGCCGCCGTGAAAACCATCAATAACCAAGGGTGCCAACCTGTTTTTAATATCTATGTTGGGTGGGATGCCTGTGTTGGCGTCGTTGATAATTTCGTTGGTCCAACACCGCAATATAGCGTATGGGATTATCCCCTATGATGCTGTCTTGTGGTCTTGGTCTTCGACCGGTGAATCGATCAGAGACGGCACAGGTAACCCATCGTTTTGAAGATTTTAAATTGTCATCTGAAGACTCTAAACAAATATATATTCTATATATCATGACTATTTATCCCTTGTTGGTTCTGAGCGGACAAAATAGTCAACATAATCCATGTATAATCATGCCGATCCGGTAAAAGTTTCTAAAATATACTAATAAGGTTGTGTACCTACCACTTCGTATGTTCTGTAGCGTATCCAGACATCTTTTGGCCCTGTTAGAACACCGAATCTTAAATTTGGTATTTGGTACGCTAAACCGTTACGCTCAGCTTCGGTTAGTCTTAAGATCGTTAGCGCTAATACCTCTCAAGGTTCGGTGAGACGATATATTGAAGAAATAGAAAACGCGCGCGCGTGCTGTGTGAAGTCATAAAACACGCGAGGGTTGGCAGAACACGAGAGAAGTGTTAGGAGAAGCACGACGCGTTTTTTATTTCTCTTATAAAATACAAATTACAATAACCGTTATTTTAGATACGAATGACGCAACGGAAAGTGCGCGCTCCAAACCAATCAGAACGCGACATTCATAACAGTTATTTTATAAAAGTAAAGTATTTCTTATTTCTTATTTCTCGGCATGAGGAGGTTTCGTCCGAGTAGGTACCCAGATACGCCATGTGCTGAGGACTAATTGTACTAATCTAACTGCTACTAAACTAGACTCATAATAGCAAGACCTTTCCATTTATCTGAGATCTTAATTTGTTACGGATCGTCTTGTAATCGTATTTATTATACATCTGCTTCCGGGTTTTCAAATTCTGAAAACAGAAGTTTTGAATACGTCTTATCTTTTCCACGAACCTACATCATTTATCCCATGTATTTCAGGTTATTTATTGCATAATCATACTTTAGTGCTTTATTTAACTCTTTTCCCTTGTTAGTACGTTGCGGTAGAAACGTGCAGGTATTCGTTATTTTTACTAACTTTATGATCCAATGTATCTATCAAATCAGTATAGCAAAACTAATGTTCGTTTTAATAACTTCAATCTTAATTTATCATCATGTCAGCTTCGTTAATCGATCGCCTTTAGATTTTTATATGATTTTGTTCTTCATTGACGTTTCGATATTTTATCAAACTAGTTAACCAAACTGCCTTAAATTTCTCTTGCATCATGGTGTGTTCAAAGGATTGCATGGTTTAAGTATCGCTAGGATTGTAGCCGCGGTAATCACATATTTTCTTTCCTTGATGCATATTATACTGACTAAATGAGTACTTTATTCGCTTTATCACATATTCCCTGACACTGTGAATGACAAAGATTGCCAACCGCAAAGCAAGCGTATTTTTAAATCGTATTTTTGCTCCAGAAACGGGCTGAGTAGTTTTAAAACGTTGCGTCGCTATTCTCCTTTATTTGTAAACGCATTTAATCATATAGCTACACTTCCTCGGAGACCCTGGATGTCTCTAGTTGTGAACGCGTGTGGGGATCGGTGGGGAAGTGCGTTATCTCTTCTCCTTCCCCAGCCTTCGCACCACGACCTAAATCCAGCCGTTTTGGGTCTTCAGGGACAATAGTTGCCTAGTGTTAGCGATAGATATTATAGTCACGGTGATAAGTTTCAAATTCAAGTCATGAAAAAAAACATCGCCGTCTAGTTTAAATTGCTTCATTTTATCCTAACCAAAGAAATCAAACCCAGACTTATTACTGTTAACTGTTTATATATATTTAGATTCTAGGGATTTTCCTGGATTGCTAAGCATTTAGGTAAAATTCCTTTGATAAGACAGGAGACAGAACTTATCAAGAAGAATCAGGGCCCCTCCACTATAAGATTGGTGTTGCTCTTCTGTACCTCTCCTGTACTTGACTTTTGCATTGGTTTCTGCCTCTTGTCATATCAAGGGAATTTTTTTTAGTCATAGTAGAGTAGGTTTCGTATTAGTTGGTATTCACGGTATGCTTCATACGTTGCACTGAAATGATTTCCCATTGTTTTTGTCTGTGATCCAATCACAACGCTTGAAGAACGTCTGCGATCCAATCACAAGACATGAAGAACGTCTGCGATCCAATCACAACGTGATTCAATTTGAACACATGAAGAACGTTTGCGAATAAGTGACGTATCGTTTGTCCGGCACTCGTATGAAACTAGAGTTCAGTTCATCAATCGAGAGTATGATGAAGTGAATTGTTAGATATGCTTGGTATAAAACATAGATATATAATCTGATTGTAAGGTAATTGAACAGTGGCGGATCCAGGATTTTTCAAAGGGGGGTTCCGTTTCTTAATTCTCTTTTGTTTAGGCGATGTTTGACAAAAATGTGCTCTAATCACCTAATTTACTATCTAGTAACGGAACTTAAAGGTAAATTAAACATTATAACAGCAAATATCAAAACTACTAATATTTTTTTATTATAATTTATATAAGACATATTTCTATTACCCAAAAGATCAATCCTTCAAGGGGGGTTCCGTGGACCCCTTCGACCCCCCCTGGATCCGCCACTGTCGAATAGTAAAGCAAGCCGTTGCTAGTAATTGCACTAAATATATTGTAAGGGCTATGTATTACACCATTTTTGTGATAACCACATTAAAGCTTAGATATATTCTATCATATACACTATTCCTTGTTTTCTTTTATTTGCCGCGACTTGGTTTCTATTCCCCGATTAAGATTCGTCAGTTTCCGTGCGATGATGAAATAAGTATATAAGGGAAGGTACGTTTTCTGGTTTTATTGGCGAGGGGGGGGGGGGGGGTAAACTTTTAAAAATAGTTAAAGCCATTCCCCTTTCACTCAGTAGAGTGCAAACAATATATCCGTGAAACTTTAATTACTAAATTGTTCAAAATAGTGCTAGTTAAACAAAAGAAAACAATAGAATTAGCATAAAATAGTGTAAGTTAGTATTACTAAAATTTCACGGATACATTGTTTGCATTCTAAGAAATTCATTACGCTCCTATTAAGCGAAAAAGGGAGGGCCCTAGCCAGACCGAATCGTTTATCGAGGCAAACGAGTGGCAAATTCGGGATCAACTAGAGGGGTTAATTTTGCATGAAACCCTCGGAAATGCGATTTCCTGATATGAGTTTTGAGGGGTATTTGTGATATTTTACCATGGCAACTGCCTCGTTGCCTCATAGTGGCTACAGCCCTGCAAGGAAATAGCTCACGTCAGAATAGAGGCTTTGCACCATCACGTCAACATAGACACTCAGCCCTGGCTTCACTTTTAGAAGCCTTGCCGAATTTTACACCAATATTTCAAAATCATGCTGTGATATATACAATATACAGTCAATTCAAAAAACGTTGTCGTCGACCGGCTCAAGCCTACGCGACTGGACCGAAAGAAATATGGGTAAAAATCAATGAAACAGTTAAATATTCGTTCTGAATTAATTGTTCCCGCTAGTTATAAGATAATAATGGCGAGAAACAATCCCTCAAATGCATGTCTTTGGGTTTAG